GCAGTACTGAATCGGATAAAGTTTTTACCGATACCAACCTTAGAAAACATTTATTATAAAACTATTATCCCTAGCGTTTTGTATGGCATTGTAGTCTGGGGGTCTTGTTCTTCAACCTTGACGGATGATATTGATCGAATTCATTTAAGAGCTACTAGAATTATTTACAACCTACCCCATAGCATCCACAGTGATGACATCATGAACGCTCCACACTGGAACTCTATTGTTTCATTTTACATCAGGAGACTTTTAGTTATTACGTACAATATCTATCATGGAAATAGCATCGAGCCTCTAAATGACTTAATAGTGAAATCCGAGACTCCTTATGACTTAAGAAAATCCCTAAAAGTTAAGGTTCATAGACCAAGAACAGAAATGGGAAGATCTTCGTTTAAGCACAGAGCTGCACTATCCTGGAACCTCCTTCCCGAAGACATGAAGAACAGTTCAAACTTAACTTCCTTCAAGAGAAAACTCAGGGAAAATAAGAGAATTCTGAAATCTATCAGTTTTGCTAAAGCTTCCTGCAGCGTTTCCTACAAATCTGTTGACTTTAAATACTTTTAACATTTACTCCGTATTGTTATTAATATTTATTTCTTTTAATTGTCATTATTTACATACCATTTTCCGTCTATTCACTAATTAGGTATTTTTTAATTGATAGTTTAATTGATGCAGGTCCACATCAGGAAGTAATGTCTTGCCTATCCCTCAACCTGCTTTATTAAATAAACGATGATGATGATGATGATGATGATGATGATGATGATGATGATGATGATGACCTGGCAACCAGCTCGCAAATGGTCATTATCCGTTAAAGATTGTCATACAATTTTACTTTCGAACTGTAAAGCTGTAATTTAAAACTTATTTTGACTATTTTATCAGATGAGTATTTGTGCTAAAAGCATTTGTTGATCTCCGATTATTTTCCCTCATAAGGGCCACTACAACTTTTACTTTCTGTAAACAGCAATATTACAGCTTACCTCAAGGCGGGTAACACATATAACAAGGCTAACAAAATAAATAACTAGTGACCATTACTGACACATGATACGTCAATCGAAAAAGCATGCAAGTGGCTCAGGTCGGCAGGAACCAATATAATAATTTTTTTTTCATTAAATATGAATGTAATTATCAATGACCTCATTAAATTGAATTATTGCGAGTTGAATTGTTCTTGCCCGATTAGACCGGTTAGCGGGTATAAACAAGAAATTTCAGCACCTTTCATTTCAATGATTGCAACATTCGTTCATTGTAGTAATCATTCCAAAAGTGCATGTAAATAACAAAATAAAATTTCTCTTTGGCATGACTCTCAATAACATCTCAATACTTCTCGTCGTTCCGGCTGAGGCTAATAATCGTGAACTTCCGGGTTTCCTGCTGCGGTTGTTAAAACATCCTGTCACATCACTGGCAACAAATGTGGCATTCTTTCTTCCAGATTTCAAATTAAAAATAAGATAAACAGATCTGCCAGTGAGTTAAACGGTATCCTTGTGTATTTGACTCGTAGCAGGCTGAAAAAGTTTCCTGTTTATCTCGCTCCAAAGCGGAATGCTTGTAACCACAGCTGATCCTCTTCGCTCTGATTTTGCGGTCCGCAGAAATGGGAAACTCGGGATGGTTTTTTCCTTCCTTTGTGATCAACGGACGATTCATGTGATTTGCTAAATGTTTCTTTGGTAGAAACTTTCCTCGTTACCTTTCTGTCTAAGGCACAATCTCTCTTTCCTCTTTGTGTTCGCTGTCGTCTTCTTAGAAACAAAAACTGTAGACATCCACCGAGAAATAACATAGTTACAACTCCCTGTGCTGTCATAGTTGTTCAGATTGTTTGTCGTTACTCAATAAAACAGGCTGCGTACTCGACATAAAATCCTTGTAGAGGCAATCATACTTTGTACTGGCTAGTCAACAATGAGCTACAACTTGACTTTCTCGTGAATTTGGGCATGTGCCCACGTGATGTGACGAAGTTTTTCTGTTGAGAGCATCACCACATAATCTTAGTTTAGACGGATTTCAACAATAGAATGATAAGTAATTGACGCTAAGTCTGAGATTCCGCTTTTAACATTGGCAAGATATAAATATGTATGAAGCTTAAGCTGTTCAATTTGTGCTGTAACACTTTGTCAAATTGCTTAAAAATTTCCGCTAGGGATGTTACCGCGAAAAGTTCTTGTCAAAAGTCACAGCAGATGGACTTCGAAAAACGCGACGTCCATGCTACTTAGTTTTGCCTTGGGATGCTTTATATAATGTATCATGGCACATTTTAAGTAAAGCTGAACAGGAAAACCAACACCCCCCAAAAAATATGACCATCTAAGGAGACTTTTAAACATAACATAACATAACATAATATCAACTTTATTTCAACACGATAAGTGTTTAAAGCTTCGCGCTTATGAGGTCGTGCATTTAAACTAGTCCTAAAACTAATATCTATTACTAACTTACATACAAAATAAAAGTAAGATTACTAATAGTTAATAATTATAAAAGTTTGTACAATGTATGAGATATAATCTGCTTAAGATATCATTAAAAATAAAAATAGTCTTGATCACAAAAATTAACTGTTGAGGTAGATGTTACCTTAAAATGAAAATCTTTAAATTCAACGATCTTACTTAATCTTGAATCTATGCTTTTTCGTGTGCATGAACAATGTCTGCATTCCAAGACGTAATTGTATTCCAAAGAACAGCCCCTCTATAAGTTACTGAACGTTCTAAATAGCGAGATTGAAATCTTGGTATAACAATATTATCTGACCCCCTTAATGAATACTTCGCACCACTCGACGTCATAACAATAATATTTTCGGACAGTTGTTCTGGTAACCAAAATAACATCTTACTCGTATTTTTCATTTAGCTTTAATCTTCTGGCACGTTACTAAGAGAGCAGAGTATTTGTTGTAAATGATATGGGGGGATGTTGTTCATTTTTTTCTTGGGATGGATGCCCTTCGAACTGTAATAGTAACAAGCCGAGAATGATCTGGGAATGAGGTCACGCAATGATCGTGAGCACTTTCCACTCCTCGCCATAAAAATTATACAGGAAACCTTTTCTATGAGCCCTTAGACGTTCCTTTGAAGTTTGCGAGGCGAGAGTTTGAATCAAATAAAATTTCATAAATAGCGCGAGAGGAGAAGCTGATGACAAGAGAGATTGATGGTTAGTTTGCTTCGTCACCATTCTTCCCGGGCAACATGGCTACCAACAATTACGTGGATGAAAGTGAAAATCAGTCTCCAAAATTAGTTGTGGCAATAGCCGATTTCGCCGCAGAAGACAAAAATCAACTGAGCTTCAACGAAGGTGACGAACTTTTGGTTTTAAATAAGAATTCTAGTATTTGGTGGTGGGCCGAACTCGATGAAAAATTTGGATATGTTCCGGTCTCCTATGTGGTACCTGTTTCTGAGTATCTATCTCGACACGTACAGAATCATGATTGGCAGGATGAAGAGTACTTTGGCGCGTATGGTAAAGTGAAAATCCATCTTGAAATGCTAAGCGATCACTCAAGAACTCTTGCGTATCGAAACGCCATCTTTAAGCATCGAGATGTTTTCACTGGAAAAACTGTTTTAGATGTTGGATGTGGTTCAGGGATTCTGAGCTTGTTTTGTGCTAAAGATGGAATGGCGAATAAAGTTTATGCTGTGGATGGAAGTGTGGATATCGGGGAACTGACCAAAGAACTCGTTGAAAGAAACGATTTACACAAGATAATCACTGTTATCACAGGAAAAATTGAAGAAATTGAGTTGCCAGAGAAAGTTGACATTATTATCTCTGAGTGGATGGGTACGTTCCTTATCTTCGAATTTATGATCGACTCAGTGCTGTATGCACGAGACAGATGGTTGAAGCCTGATGGTGTGATATGGCCATCAAATGCAAAGTTATTTGTCGTACCTTGTTGTGCAGAAGAAGCTTATCAGGAGAAGGTTACTGCATGGAACAATCAATATGGTTTTGATTTTTCTCCTTTTCTTAACAGAGCTAAGGCAGAAGTTCTTAACAGACCTTTGCATAACCAGGAGCTTGACCCAAAGGACTGCCTGTCCCAAAGTGCAGTTCTTTTGGATATTGACATGTCCACGTTTGTGAAGGAAAATCTTGAACTGATGTCAGAAAATTTTGAGTTTGTGATAACTAAGGAGGGTACATTACATGGGCTGTGTTCTTGGTTCAATGTCACCTTTGGAGGGATACCCATCACAGATACATCAGAATGTGTGATACTGTCAACAGCACCTGATCAAGAAAAAACTCACTGGAAACAAAATCTTTTTCTATTGGAAGAACCAGTGATTGTTCATGCTGGTAATTTTTTTAAAGGTACAGCCACCTTGAGGCGAAATCCTAAATATAGACGGCATATGAATGTTACTTTTGAATTTGATATTTTTTCTAGTGATTCAAAAGGAGAAATTATTTATAGTAATAAGAAAAAATATTTTATTTGGAGATAGCAGATTTTAGTATTTATTGAGAGAGCCAAGTATTTCCATGCTATTTAAGCCTAGCATAGAAAGCAGAAGATTCTAAATAGCAAAACATACTTCCCAGCAAAGGTTTAAAGTAGATTTTAGAAACCATGACAGTTATTCAACCAGAGACTAAAGTTTATTTAATAAAATTCTTGATACAGTTTTCTCTTAATGTGATAAAATTATGTTATTGACTGGTGTATTAGTAAGGATTGTTAAGGTCTCGCATTAAATCAGCCAGTCGTTCCGAAGCTTGCACTGTAAGTTTATGTTTTGCCCCCAGCTGAGATCTGTAAACTTAAAACAGACAAAGTTGTGGTAAATTTTATTTTTTCATTGATTCATTATTTTAAAATTAAGGGTAAGTAACTCAAAGTGTAAAAGTGTGTGGATAAGGTTATTATTTTATGAAATAGCTTAAACATCCACTGTGGAGCTCTGTTTGATGATATTTGATTTGTTGTTTTCAAAGCTTTGGTGGGTAAAGAGAGAAAAACAATCTGGCACCATAAAAATCTTATTTAACACAAAGCATTTATAAAAATGCCCTAACTCCAATTTTCTTAAAAAAATTTTCTTACTTCTTTTTTTAGTGAATTCTTATTTCTTATCTTTCCATAAAGCAGACCATAAACTTATACAGTTTTCCAGCTATTTAAAAAAAAATTAGAAACCCCTCTTTTTTGCAATTTCCTGGGAGAGATTGGATAACAGATTAGGATTCTGGCCATCTTCAGGGGTGTTGGTTGCTGCTAACAATAGAATGTCCTATTTTACAGATTAAGGGGGGAAGAGAGATTGAAACAAGAATGAAAAGATTGAAAAGAGATTGAATTCTTTGTGGTTGTTATAGAAACATTTTAATGATATCCAGTAACATCCCCGATACCTTGAGCTGTTCTCAGTATAATCGGATACGCTTCTTCTTGGATATCAATCAGTAAAGACCTTGGAAGCTGAAAGGAAAATATGAGAGTCAGGCTTTTGCTGCAATGAAAACCTCATTTCTCAGTCATACAGTCTGTGTGGTAGTATGAAAGCCAAAGAATAGTACAAGTTTTATCTATAAAGGTCTGTCTGATTGGTGATCTCCAGCACTTACCTCAGTTTTGATTCGGTCAGCAGCTCTATCCATAAATTCTTGATGCTTGGCATCCTGAAATAGTAATTATAATTGAAAACCTTATCTAGACTGAAACAAAAATTACGTTTTTACCTTAAACTCATGGCAAGGAGACCGTATATCAGAAATGAGCTGCTGAATGTATCAAGGGACCAGGATGCTATAGGTATAGTTGTTATGAACTACTAAAATTAGGAATGTTAAGTGTTTGGGAATTGTTTAGGCATGTTAAAATATCTTGAAATCCTTATGCGAGTCTTGTGAGCCTTGGTTTGTTATGTGCTGCAAGACCACACATTTATTTTTATTCTCTGAGTGGTGTGTCCTTGACCGTATTGTGATAAGCTGTAATTCTCGCACGATAATCGGTATCGTGCGCAAGTCGTCTTTGGGTTTGTCCTTGACCTTGCTCAGAGTCCTCAACGGGGAATTTTGTTTAGGTTTTAGCTCTCGAAGATTGGTTGTTTCTTCAAGTACTTTGTTGTCCATTTAGATGTCTTATGAGATTGTTTTAGTTATCTTTCTAAAATATGCTTTCTCTGCCAAGTTCAGCTGCCCCGCGAGCCTAAAAGAGCGTGCACTAAGGGCTGAATTAATTTGAAGAGAGACAGAGTCTCAGATAGTGAAGTAAAGTTCCTGAACAGACTGCTGGTGGCTCCTGTCTGCGCGTGGTGTTAAAGCTAGCTTACCCTTACAGTCCAAAATATAATTCTCAAGCTTAACAACTGATTCGAGATATACTGTACTTCTTCGGTTACTGGGGGCTCCTGGTAACCTGGAGGTAAAAGTTTACCTTAGCAATAGTCTCTTGGGCCCTTTTCTTTGCCCTCGCTGTGTTTATTTTCCATCTCACCAAAGAAGACGCCAGGATACCTAATCCAATCGAACCTTTTTTTTTAGTCTCACCAGACCCTGCTACCGATGCAGCTATAGAGGTCCTCCTCGACGGAGAGCTTGGTCTTCTAGCCGCCTCGTTGGAACTTCCCGGGGTCGAAGGGCCTTCGGACTGTCCTGAAGTAGACGGGAATTTTTGTACACCTCCAAGAGAGAAATTCCCCTGGCGAGAGGCATCAGTTTGGTGGGCGGGGGCAGAAAATGGTTTCAAAGATGCTGGGGATGATTTACGCCGACTGTCGGTTTGAAGACTGGGTAAGAATGGGAATTCCAAAAGGGATGCCATTGTATCAAAACGCTCCTGGAGGTGAAAAAGAAAACCAAGACCAAGGCTCTGGTTTTTACTGTCACAAAACCATTAATCTGTTTTTAAGTACAGACCTTTCTTTGTCTTCTTAAACTGATTTCGCGGAAACATCAATTTTTAAGAAAGAGGGGAGCAAAATAACAAAAAGTTATTCTCTAAGAAATGAATTTCTTAAAAAAAAAAAAAACTTTAAAAAGTGATCCTTTTGGTTTGCCTTAAAACTTTCCGTATCTCGATTTAATAGAATGGAAACTTAACAAGATTAAAGAGAAGACTTTCCGACAAACTTTGTGCGATTATTTTGCGACATATACAGCTAAGTTAACAAAATGCACTTCGTTTATGAATGAAAGTGATCCTCGCAATAATTAGTTCTTATTAACCGAGCGGGAGGTCTGTATGGGAGAATCTTGACCGAGGTTGCCAGTACAGACCGAACGCAGTGTCTTATATGCCAATTTTTTATATTCTTTGTACTTTTTTTTTTTTCTAGACCGGTCTAGATGCCAGTCAAGACGGGAAAATCTAGACCACTTCCAATATTGATTACAGCCAATCAAATTCGTGAATTCGGTAGTTCCCAGTCCTTGTGAGACACAGCCATATAATAAATGTATCTTATTATTAAAAACTGGATCATTGGATAATGCAATTCAAGACTTTTTATTGGCTTAGCCATTATGGTATATCAGCCAATATACCATAATCTACAAATATGGTAAGCGTCCGCGCCAGCTTAAAATCAAAAGGGAGCTAAAAAATCCAGTTTCTTCTTACAAAATAATAATTTCTTGGGGGCGTTTTTAATAAAACAATTATTCCACTCGCGCTTGTTGGATATGAGATGATTATAGCCAACTCGGCGCTACGCGCCTCGTTGGCTATCTATCATCTCATATCCAACGCGCGCTCGTGGAATAATTGTTAATTAGACGTTTTGTTGTGAGTATTTTTACGAGTTGTGCCGTATTTTTGACGAGCCCGTAGGGGCGAGTCAAAATACAAATAGCGAGTAAAAATACTCAGCGATACTACACAACAAAACGTCTAATAAGTTATTTATTATCCAACACTCCAAACTGTTATTTCAGTGCGAGCGAATTTCGCGGATATTTATTCTGGGGAGTGCGTGACAGAAGTATGCGAAGCGGAACAGAATTGGCGTATTGTCGTGTTGCTGTTTCTAGTTTGTTCAGTAAATGAAGAAATTTCCTGGTCGTCTAGCTGTTTTTCTTCGTTCGATTCATCTAATAAACTTGGATCTATATTTGCCAGCCATTCTGACTCTTCGTCGTCGGAAATATGATTCAAATTGTCCGCCATTTTTTTTT